CACTTACGGGGCTCAGAGAACAGCAAGGTGTTTGGGGTGGCGGAGGCTGGGGCCTACCGCAGCTTGGGACATCTGGAGCCAGTTTTGGAGGTCAGAGAGTTGAAGGGGCAGCTCTTCAGGAGGCAGGCCCAGTGCAGGGTGCAGCAGGGCGCTGTGGGAAGGGACGGGGCTGCAGGCACAGACCCGCCGTGCCGCTGGGAGGAGTCTGTAGGCTTTTCCCCCGGCTCTTCGAGTCGTGGCTCGGCATATTTGTGCACTCCTTGCCTCGGTGGACATGGGCCCCCCTCCTCCTCCTCAACAGCTGTACTTCTTACTCTTCCAGCACCCGCCAAGGAGACAAATGGCGCTGGGGTCGAGGCCTCGGGGAGCATGGGCCGTTGGGCAGAGCCCTCCAGGGTTCCAGGAGCTCAGTTCTAGCTCCAGCCTTCATCTAGATGTTCCTGGGACTCAGTGACCCAGGACCACAGGCCACTCCCCAAGGACCCCCAGGCCTAGCCAGTGCCTCCCCTCTTCAAGGCAGGCCACCCTGGGGGTCACAGCCCAGGGGGACTCAGAGCCTATTTGTTCATCAGCTTTTCAAGGACCAGTGCAGTATCACACCTTGGCCCTAGGCTGTCAGTGTGTCAGTGCCGACAGTGATGCAAACCCTGACCTTTCCACAGCCCGTCCTGGCGCCCACTGATTGGACATCCCTCAGCTGGATGGACATTTGTTCCAGGTCCTGAGGGCTGTGCCCTCAGATGGTCGGGTTACGCCTGGTATAAATTTTACTTTTCACCTGATCTCCTCAGAAAGAGAAAGGAGATGTCTTCTCTAAGCAGCTCGTCAGGGCTCGGGATTCATGCGGAGTTGAGGGCTTGCCTTCCGCTCCCGTCTCTCCCTCCCGAGGAGTCGGATGTGTGGGAGAGTGGGGAGCAGGCTGGGGCTCACGGGGACCCGATATGGTGAGGCCGGCTTCCAGAGCTCAGCAGCCGTCAGAACACGTCTGAAAGCAGCACAGCTCTTCAGGCCAAGTCAGTCACGGGCTGGGGCGGCGCCTGGAGACTGAGTGGGTCCCCCCGGGGCCTGCATCACACTGCTCCCACACCAAGAGGAAGCATGGCGGCCACAGGCTTGCAGAGGGGGACAGCCCGCTGGGTCCTCCCCAAGCGGGCTCTGACGGCTGATCCCCTCTGTGACCCCCGGGTGGTCTTCTGCCCTTGGGCTTGGACACTCCTATGACAGATCTCACCGTCTACTCCAGCAGCTAATGTGACTATTAACCAGTTCTTTTATTGTAAATTGTTATAATTTGTCTCCTGTGACTTCCCTCCATTAGTCAGTCCCATTGGACTATAGACTCCCAAAGGACAGGGACCGTCTGTGTTTACTCAGTGCACTACCCCCCGATCCCAGCATAGTGCTGGCCCACAGTGGGCACTCAGCGCACCTTTGCTAAGGAGTAAATGAATGAATGAGTGGTCCCAAAAGTCACACAAAACAGGTGCAGTTATTTTTACTTGGACTGCTACTTTAGATGTTAGAAGAGAAGCCCCCTGTCCCACCTCATCACCTTGTAGCTGCACCTTCCGAAGCCTGACAGCCACCCATGTGACATGTCAGACCCTCACCTCCTTCCCCACCCCCAGAATCCTCCCCCAGAAACTCATGACTTCCGGTGCGGAATGCTGGTGGATGTGGACTGTGACCCTCATCCGTCATGTGGGTTCTCTGAGCATGGCCTGTGAGGGTCAGACAGAAGCTGAGACCAGCCCTGCCTTCGGGGAACTGCTGGCCCTGGTCGCCAAGCAGTCAGGGAGCGCTCACTGCCCTGTCCACCTCGGTGTCCATCACCGCCGCCCACACCGCCTCAGCCAGGTGGGTGATGCCGGCCGAGCCCTCGGCGTCAGTGTGTGCACTCAGAGCCCTGCTCTTCCTAGTAATGTCTGTCGCTCACAGCCTCTCATCCTCATTTCATCTTGATTTATTATCGGACCTAATGAGTTTTTGGAGCAGCTATCTCCCAGGGACCAGACGGACAATCTAAAAGATGGCTGTTGAACTCAGCACCTCCAGCAGCCAAGGGACAGAAGGGCCAGGGGCCAGGTGGCAGTGGGGGAGTTAGTCCTTATGCTCTGGTCCCAGGGCCCCTCCCGGCGAGAGCTGCCCACGCCTGGCCCTCCTGGCTCCTCCCCTTTTCTCTCTGTCCCTCCATCGCGACAGTGGTTAGGGTATCCCCAGTTTGTTTTGAACTCGCCGGCTTGGGGACCAGATCGGAACACGTTGCCTTCTCTCTCCACTCCAGAGCACAGAGCCCAGTGCCCGCCCTGCGCCCTAGCGGTGGTTGGGGGGGAATCGAAGGGCCCCTGGCTCACGTATTCCCTGCCCATTTCAAGGTTAGCGAGGGCTTATTGGGGAGCTGCGACCCCATGAAGCGGCCACTTTTTAACGCTCCTGGAATTGCCCCCCAAGAGCCTCTGGCATCGCAATTCCCAGACTTCCAGCCCTTGAAGTTAGACCTGGTTTTTGGAAATAAGCCCGTTGTGTCTGGAATAGACTTGTTTGATTAAAGAGAACATCATGGTGACTAATCTAGGTAATAGCGTTATGCAGTAAAACTAATTACAGCTAGAAGATTGTGAGATAAATTTTCTTATCACCCATAGTGGACCCCTACGGTAGGTGTACCGTTCTTGTTGGGGGGCGGGGGAGGAGCGCGTGCATGCTTTAAAAAAACAGTCTCATGTCTTTCGAAACCTGCTTCGTAAACTGGCTTATTTACAATAAGCAGAGCCCCCACTCAGGGCTGGCCAAACAGCTCCCAAGCCAGTTCCCTCCTGCGTTTCTTACAACCTCTTGGAGATTTAGGGCTGCGGGCTGGAGAGAGCAGTGAGGCACTCACGTCCCAACAGCCAACTTCTTCCTGGCTTCTCGCTTGCTCATCACACCTAGGGCACCAAGGCCAAGGCCAGCAACAGAGGAATTCTCCAGTCTCCTCATTCAGAGTCCGTGCCAGCCTTGGCCCGGGCCAGGAGTGGTGATACCAGGTCATGAGGTGACACCCCAAGATGGTAGAGGCACAGCAGGATTTGAATCTTGCCTTACAGCAGCTGTCCCCTTTGCCCTGACCCCGATGCCCTGCCTGTGGTGGCGGAACTGTCAGCTGCAGCCTCTTGAATAGCTGATCACCAGGCAGCCCCAGGGCCCCCAGTGTTCCAGCAGTAGCTACCCCGCCCTCTCAGCTCTGCTTTGTAACCCTTTCTGGCACAGGGGACTCCATCACCACCCCATCCAGCCTGTCCCCGGTGTCCCCTCTCCCTCACATCTCTGCCCTGCACACCCCTCCTGTACTCACCCCCAGAAACCTGACGAGCCAGACGGCCGGGGTCCTAAGGCATCCTGAGGGAGCAGGGAAGCCCCACAGCTGTCCTGTCACACATCCCCCATCCCCCTAGAGGGTTAAGCCAGCGGCAGCTCCTGGGAGGAACTGGGGCACCACTTTCCCTTCACTGATCAGAGCTGGCAAGATTTGTGATGTCCCTGGGGCAGCAAGAGTCGAGGGGCCCTCGGAGGCAGGGACTAGGGCGTGCTGCGAGAAACAGATCATCTTCTTTATTGGCAATCTTCACAGGCCTGTTTCCTCGCCCCCTCGTGTCCCCGACAGTGTCGGCAGCTCTGATTAAAAGTAATAGATAATGTTCCCATCAATCCCACTTCCAAGTATCACTGTGGGAAGACAGTCTGGCTCCCTATGAGTCTCAGAAGAAGGGGGTCAGGGGGTGTGATGTGGCATGAAGGGCACAGTGAGGAGACAGACCCCCAGCCTCCCCCCCAGGGAGGAGCCCGGGGCCTCTGGGGGGCCAGCTGGCAGCTGGCCTCTTCCCGCTGCTCCTTCACTCTGACCTGTGTCACCAAGAAATGGCAGGTGTCGTCATGGGCTTTACCTGAGGGATTGGGGCACAGGCTAGAGTGGCTGTCGTGTCTGGTCTAGACAGAGACAATAGTGGTTTGTGACCCCCGAAATTGGAGGCAGGGACACCGAGAACAGCGGTCCCTGTGTGTGCTAACTGGCTAACGGTGGCAGTTGTGGGTAATCTGGGTCGCAGATGACACTGGGAGAGACTTGGAGAGAGCTGGATGTAGAGGTGCACCTGGCTTCAGGGAGCCCCTATTCTGGAACACTGGCCTGCGAGCCCGGCTCCAGGCGTAAGACCCGGATGAGGGCCCTACAGTACAAGACTGCCAGGTAAAGCCAGCCTGGGACCGTCTGCTCCAAACAGATAGTATCACAGGTCCCCTTCTGCAGCAAACCCAGGTCAGAGTTGCTTTTCTGTCCCCTACCTGTGCCACCAGGCCCAGGAGAACAGAGCCACACGCCGTTAGCCTCCCCGCCTTGGTCTTCAGTGCCATTTCTTCCTCGAGTGACCACCGGTACCCTCCTGCCTGGGGTAGGCCCTGGGCACCCGTCGCTGCTCAGCACTGCCAGCCCTTTCCCAGTTCCCCTCAGATGTCCCCTCAGATGCCCTTGGCCCAGGAGGACACCTCCTCCCAAATGCCCTGGGCCCCTTACCCCTCCAGTCCCCCTAGCTCCAAGGGTCAGAGTGCAAACACCAGTTTTGACCTGTGCCTGATCCCTGCAGAGAGGCTGGCAGAGCCCCTGAGGGAGAGCCCCTGGGGGCTGATAAGGGAGCTGGGTTGTCCCTGGCCAGGATTGTGCACTCCCCTGAGAAGAGGGGCCACCCTTCTACGTGCTCAGCCTCCCCCCAAGACAGACATTCCCTTATCTGCTGTGGGGACGGGGTGGGGCTGTGTGAACGAACCAGCGTGAAGAGGAAATGCACGGGACATCCATGAGATCAGCAGCCACTGCTGACCTGCCCCAGAACGTGGCCCTCAGGGTCCCATGAATTTAGGATTCTTGCTCATGGGGCTCCTGTCCCTCGGCAGGCGCCCCCGCACCAGCCACTGTCCTCAGCATGCTGTTTCCTCCTCCACTGACTGACCCCCTCTCTCGTTTCCAGCTTTCGCCGTCATGATTGTGCTGGCCCTGGTCCGCATCGGGCGCGGGCACGGGGAGGGGCACCCGCCCCTGGCCGACTTCTCCGGGCTCCGGAACCTGTTCGGGGTGTGCGTCTACTCCTTCATGTGCCAGCACTCCCTGCCCTCCCTCGTCACGCCCATCTCCTCCAAGCGCCACCTCACGCGCCTGGCCTTCCTGGACTACGTGCTGATCCTGGCCTTCTACGGCCTGCTGTCCTTCACCGCCATCTTCTGCTTCCGCGGCGACAGCCTCCTGGACATGTACACCCTCAACTTCGCGCGCTGCGACATCGTGAGCGTGGCTGCCGTCCGCTTCTTCCTGGGCCTGTTCCCCGTCTTCACCATCAGCACCAACTTCCCCATCATCGCCGTGACGCTGCGCAACAACTGGAAGACGCTCTTCCACCGCGAGGGGGGCACGTACCCCTGGGTGGTGGACCGAGTGGTGTTCCCCACCATCACCCTGGTGCCCCCGGTGCTGGTAGCCTTCTGCACCCACGACCTGGAGTCGCTGGTGGGCATCACGGGGGCCTACGCAGGCACCGGCATCCAGTACGTCATTCCCGCCTTCCTGGTGTACCACTGCCGCAAGGACACCCAGCTGACCTTCGGCCACGGGACCGTCAACAAGCACAGGTCCCCTTTCCGCCACACCTTCTGGGTGGGCTTTGTGCTGCTCTGGGCCTTCTCCTGCTTCTTCTTCGTCACCGCCAACATCGTCCTCAGCGAGACCAAGCTCTGATGGCAGGACGTGTCTGCTGACAAGCGGGGTAGGGGCCTCAACCTGGCCCCGCTCGGCCCTCTCCGCCTGCAGAGCCGAAATCTAGTTTGCCTCCCAGGTCTTCATGAGGCGGGCGTGACCCAGGCTCTTGGAAGGGACCCTGCACATCTCTAGCTGGGGACCCTCTCCCCGTCCTGGCTTTCCCACAGCCTGCACCTCACCTCACTCGCCAGGGCAACCCCAGCTGAGCCGCACAGCTGGGCATGCCACTGCTCCCAGATTCCAGGACTGGTTACTGGAATCGACCCCCCTGACTCACACACGTGCCCCACCACCCTCACCACCAGAGGTGGGCTCCTCTCCCTGCACGGTGGTGACGCAGTGCTGGCACTGCCACTATTTATTCCAGGCACCATGTCCCCCTCCTCCCTTCCAGACCCCTCCCTGGTCCCGGCCTGGGAAATCTCCACTAGAAGCTGCTGCCTCCTCAGAATGAATCCCGGGCCCTCGCCCTCCTCCCCACCAGGCCCCACCTTCTCTCCAGGCTGGGCATCGCCAAGTGCCACTCTTAGGGGAGGTCCTGGCCAGCCTGATGACAAGAGCAGGAGGTGCTAATCGGTACCAGGGTCCCCCGAGCAGAGCTGTGAGGGCCCTGCTGTGGGTGCCAGCCCCTGTTCCAGGCCCCTGAGCCCGGGATGACTCGAGCAGCCCTTCCACGGGGCACAGCAGCTCGTGCACTGGTTTAAAGCCCGGAACTCGTAACCCCTGAAAGGGGTCCTGTGCCCTGCTGACTGCCCCACTGGGTCTCTTGGGGCCTCCTGCAGAGCAGGGCACGGTGTAGAAGGGCCACTACAAGAGAGCTGCCCCCACCCTCCACCATAGTGACTTGGGAGAGCCCTGGGCATGTAGCGGTGAGAGGGCTTGGTGGTTCCCACCCTGTAAGAGGGCAGACCTGCTCCTTTTCCCCGCTCCAACACTAAAGGTGGCTCCCTTTCGAGCCAGGCTCAGTGTCCACACACTCCGTGTCCCTTGGGCGCCGTGTGGTGAGATAGGGCACCGGCCAGCATTCCCGTGGAGGGAAGGTCGGGTTCCCATCACCTCGTCAGCTCTCCAGTGGTCCCCTCCCCCTCATAATCATGCACCTGCGGGGCCCGCCGTCCTCGGAAACACACATGACTGATGAACTGCATTTTCTATGTGCCTTCTGCTTCAGGACCTGGGGTCCTTCCTGACCCTCCCTGGCTGCCCCCAGCCCTGGGCCTGGTCCCACCTGTCCTAGAGCCCAGAGCAGCTTGGCTGGGAGCTGCATCTCTGGCCGCTTGATTTCAGTGCCTTGCTCAGCCCTTTTAGGGAACCTCTGTAGCCTCGCCCTGCATCGCACCAGCTTCGTACCTTGAACAGAGCGACAGCACTGGGCCTCCTGGGGCCCACAGTGGTCTCTGGAGGGCAGAGGGGCACGTGAGATTTGCAGGAACATGGGGAGTCCACAGGCAACACTACCCCCCCACCTTTGGCCCCTAGCAGCCCCAGCCTTTGAGAACCCCATATCACAATTGGCTGCGATCTGCTTTCTCTCTGTTGCCACACATTGTCGCTTCTCACAGCTTGTCCCCAAGTATCATCATTTTCCATTCACCTGAAAAATAAGACGCCCCTTCCCCATCTGCCATTGTAGCTTCTTTCCAGGGGGCCCTGCCCCGAGGTGGGTGGGGCAGGAAGGCTCTGGGGTGGCCAGGCCCCCTGTGACTCAGGCCCTCCCTGGAGCTGCCCCCACTGTTTGCTGAAAACTCAAAACATTTATACTTACCCTTCTCCAATTATGTTCCCTTTTGCTTAAGGACAAATCAAATTAAATCATCCTGTTGCCCCAGGCTCCAAACCAAATTCTGAACATGAATTTATTAGCATCATAAAGCCCAGGTTGATTTATGTGACAATCGAGCCACAGCAGTGGAGTCTGGTGGCTGCGTTCCCCTCCAAGCTGGGCAGCCCCCGTCCTGGAGGGATTGGCCCGAGGTGACGACATCCCTGGTGGCAAGCTGGGCACTGTCTGAGTTTCTTTGCTGTTCTGTGTTCACCTGCTGTCTGTCCCACTAGAGGTCAGGTGGGGTCACCTCTCTACTGCTGAGAGCCAGGGGAGAGGACGTATCCCCAATGATGCTCGCTCACTTGTGTGCATCAAGCACATTTGGCTGTTTGTACATCAGCTTGGTGAGGTGGGCAGTTGCGTCATGGTTTTTGTCTTACAGAGGGGTCCCAGGGGGTTGGTGGTGGGAGGACAGAAGGGGATGCCAGCCCAGGTACAAGTGTCGCTGTGGAGAACGAAAATTCAGCAGCCTCCACCTGATGTCGTCTGCCCACACTGTCCTAGGCTGGCCCCAGGAGCAGGCCAGGTCAAGGTGGGAGCCAGCGTTCTCTGCCCTGTTCCCTGCCAGAGCACTGGAGCCTCGTGCCACCTTGCCAGCAGCTCCTGTCTATTCCCTCACCTGAGGCCAGAGAGGCGGCCATGGGCTTCTGGATGGGGCAGATGGCAGGTGACAGGCTGGGAGGCACTGCTGAGTAGTGGAAGGTGGGCAGTGGGCATCTTGCCATGCCCTTAGCCACACAGCTGTTCTCGCCACATGGGGGCTGGGAGCAGCCTCGGCAACAGGCTGAGGCTAAAGTCACAGAGATGGGGAGGACAGGAGCTGTGCCACCTCACGGGAAACCAGCCCGAGGGGAAGAAGCTGGCAGTGCCAGGCCCTAGGGCTGCAAGACCATGGGCAAGCGGCAGGCTGACGCCACGCCTGTCAGTTTCCTGAGCAGGGCTGATGTCTGGCCCTGCTGTGCTAATGGCCACTGAAAAGCCGGCTCTTCCAGGACTAAAGTCCAGGGCTGCAGGAGGGAGCTTTGTCATCTCATCCCTTCTCCCCAAGGCCTGGGGCTCATGGTGTTGATTGAAACAGAAGTACCATCTATGGAGTGCCTGGAACTCTCCACGTGGACCTTGGTGGCATAACTTAGCGATCAAGAGTGTGGACCTAGAAGTCGGGCCGGCCCCTTGCAGGCTGTGAGCCCCCGTGCTCTCCTCCCGTCATTTGTAACATGGGATAACAGTACCTGTATCGCCGACAGGCTGTGGGAACCCAAATCCTGAGCTTAGTGCCTGACACAAAAGTGCTCGATGAAGTGATTCTGTGCTGATGCCAGCTCCCGTGTCACTTGCCAGCCATTACTGCCCTGGTAGCCACGGACCCCCAGACTCACTGAAGACCCCTGGTTTCGGGACCCAGAGGATCTAGAGGGCTTTGGGAAGGAGGGGTCTAGTTCCCCAACCGCCCCCCACCCCCAGGAAACTTAAGGACAGCTGTCTCCTTTTAAAGAGCCAGACTGAAGCCAGGTCTCCTGACCCAGGGCTTCATGCTCGCCCATTTCTAAGCTCTGCACCCCCTCCCCCACACACACATCTGGCTCCCAGGAAAAAGGTGGTGTAGACCATGAGCTACTCAGTAAAGGCAGGTGAGGACACAGCGACAGCAGCAGCAGGGAACAGGTGAGATAGTAAAGAAGGTCATACTTCTGAGACTCGTGACCAAGGGCCTCTCCTGTGTCCTACCGAAAGGAGAAACCAGCATTGGGGTGTCTGGGTGGACTCAGTTTGATCTTTGCTACACAGTCAGGCCCTTGTTTATGATGACTGAACATCTGTAGCCTCTGACATGGTCTGCACCCTTCTCTCCCCTGCTAGGCCTTCTGCTAGTGCAGGACCCTTCCTCGGTCCCCCCTCAGAGGGGCAGGGGGCATCACGGCTCTGAGCAGAAGGCTGGGAAGCCAGGCCAAGCCAGCTCTGGACCTGCAGGAGGCGCCCTTCGTGCCCCTACTTTCCACAGGCGCCCTTCTCCCCAGAATACATTCCTAGAGAAGGAACAAGGCAGCCAAGAGCCTGGCCCAAGCGCAGGGTTGGCCCCTCCTTGGAGCCAGCAGCAGCAGGCTCAGCTCCACGTTGGGCTTTTAATTATCTTTCCAGTCCTTGGTTATTAATGATCTTGGGCACTGAGCACAGAGCAGCCTGAACCTTGTGACTCCTCTCAGCCTCACCTGCTGCAGCCTTCCACCCAGAGCTGCACTCAGACCCAGGGAGAATGAGGGGTCAGGGGCTGATGGCCAACAGTTAACCCTCTTGCCACCAATGGCTGCAACCAAGGTCGAGCTCCCTTCCGGGGTGCTGGCCCCTGGCTCTCACCTAGACTCATACTCACCAGCTTAGATCGAGCCCCCTGATGCTGGACCTGAATCCACGAAACTCCATAGGACAGAGAATATGAAATGGACTGTAATGGACCGGGCCACTCATCTTGAGGGTACTCAGGCTCTCCAGCCAAGAATGCCAGGGGTATTAGCAATATCCCTCACTTTACCTTTTCAGCTCTGAAAAACAAACAAAACTTCCCGTTTTCATGGCCCAGTCCCAGCAGTGGAGCCTTGCCGACCTGAAGAGGGGACCAGCAAGGAGCTGTGGAGGAAAAGGGCCCTGAACAGCGGCTGCCCTCCCCGGCCTGCTCCCTACTACGCGGAGCTAATTTCTGCCCTGCCCTCACCCAGCTTGTGGAGGACAGCAAGGCCTCGGGCTTTACATACTCTGCGGTTAGAAAAGGGTCTGACGGCACCAACTACACACACTGTGTGGAATGAATGAGAGAAGGGGTACTTGCTTCACAGTCACTGTGGGAGCTAAATGTAATCACAGATATGGAAACATTGACAATTGTAAGCAAGACCCATCAGGTCCAGGACTGATGATGACATGTGACAGACAAAGGCGGTAGGTCTGGCAGCCCAGAGGCAGGATGGATGAGGGACTAAGACTGTGAGCTGATTCTCTGACCTCCTTTCCGAGGAGTCCCAGCACCAGCGAGGCTGAGCTGTGCCTGACCCTGGAAGCCACCTGTGCCAGGCTTCCAGAACTGGCACAGTGCAGAGCCCTGCACCTCCATGGTGTAGAGAATCAGTCAGCCAGGACCCAGAAGAGCCCAGTGGGCTCCCCACAACAGACCTCCCTCTGCCGTTTCCAACGTGACACTGTCAGGCTCCTAGGTGGGCCCCTGGCAGGACAGGGCACCCACAGCCCCTGGCACCAGCCTCTCTTTTCAAGGGGACTGAAGGATGAACTCCATCCATCACCACCAGAGCCCCCGTGCTGAGCACATTTGTCACATCCGGCACTAGGGTGAGCAGGAACTGGCCCTGAATACCAAGAGGCTTCTGCTGCCAGAGCCCTCTCTCAGCCTCACCGCCCAGATACTTGCCCAGAGGGAGCTGCCCGCCTGCTCTAGGTGGGCACTCTGCCTGGGATACTCCCATGATGCTCCTATTGCCCACAGGCTGTGATGTGCCCCCTCCAAGGATGCAGAATGAGGCAGCAGGACCAGTGGGTTGTAAAAGGTTTGTTTAATATGGCAGCACTCTGAGAAGAAACTCCAGCCAGTAGATCGAGGAGTGGAACAGTCCTGCCCCAACCCTGAGTTACAGCCTCTGTGTTCCCACACCAAGACCCCAGCAGCCATGACCAGGAACTGGCTAACAGCCGGGCAGGGGACCCCACCGATCCCTGTGACTCCAGGTCCAGTGGGAAGGGCTTTGCATGATAAGAGGACAGCAAGAACCGAGCCCACACCAGGACCTGAGGCTGCTGAGGTTACTGAACTGACCATGGAAGACATTGTCATAGGCCCCACAGCCAGGAGTTCATGACAGAAGTCAGAAAAGTCCAAGCCTGCCTGCCCCCTAACCCTGGCAGTGCCTGGTGGAGAATCCAGCTGACCAGGAACCAGAGTAGCCGACACCTCACACTTCTGACTCCAAGCTGTTGATCCGCCTCCAAGTGCAAGGTCCCAGGAAGCTGTGCGTCCCACAAGCCACCCTTCTGACCTCTTCCAGCCCCCCATTGTCCCTGTAGCCTGTGCTCAGCTCCAGAGTCCTGCCCCTGTGCCCTGGAGGCCCCCGGGCCCCAGTGAGCCAGGGGCTGTGGCTGGCACAGGGTGGGAGATGAGGGCAAACAGCCCTCCAGCAAAGGGGCAGGTGGGCATGGGCATGGAGGCAGGAATGCTGTCTGTGTGGCCAGGCGGAGACCCCTGCCCACACGCCTTCTTGACAGGCCTCCCGGTAAGTTGGCAGCCGCATCGACTGAGCCTGCGCCAAGGTCCCACACGACAGGTGGACACACCCTGCGGACAGTGAACTGGGCCGGCCGAAGGCCTCGGCCACCGAGCTGGGCAGGGAAGTATGGCGCGCGCGCGGGCCCCGGGCCCAAGCAGCGTGCAGCAGGGCCTCCCTCCGAGCCAGCTGCTCTGGCCCAAGCAGGGGCAGGTCCTCGGGCTCCGGGGGCTCTGGGAAGAGCGGGAGGAAGGGGCGCCCCAATCGGTCGGCTCGAGGGAAGGAGCTATAGTGGCAGCGCTTGGGCGACAGGGGGCGCTCCGGGAGCGCGCACAGCTCAGAGGCCAAGAGGTGCCGCCCTCCACGACCGGTCCGCAAGGGCCACTTCGCCTCCCAGGCCCGCCGGCCCGACACCCGGGAAACATCCGTCAGGGGCGGCCCTGGTGTCCCGGGGCGTCCCGGCGGATGCGAGGCCCTGCGCCCCAGTGCGGTGCGTCCCCCGCCTGGTGGACCCCAACCCTTGGGGCTCCGGTTGGGGGGCGGGCCAGGGGTAGGCGGCCGAGGGCCGGGGCAGGCGGGAGGCGGGGGCGCGCGGCGGCTGCCCCAGTTCTCAATGGTGCGCGTGGCGCGGTCCAGAGAGCTGCTCACTCCCGCCGTCGTCACCATGTCGCGCGCCGCCTGCAGCATCTTGAGCACGCTGGCTTGGGCCGAGCTGGCCGTGAGGTCCGGGCTGGGTGGCCGCGCCGGGCTGGCCAGGCTCTGCACCCCGCTGAAGCAGCTGTAGATGCCCTGGGCGGTAGGGAGGAGACGCGCTTGTGAGCGGCGTCCTCTCGGGGACAGCCCATCTCCCCGTCGAGGCACCATCCCAGACACCTCTAAATCCTAGGAAGCAACTCACATTTGCTAAGCGCCTCTTATGTGCCAGGCACTGTGCTGCTGTGAGAGTTTATGGAGGAGCTGTGTGAGACTCTCAGAGGTTAACTCCTTCTAAAGTCACACGGCTTGTAAATGGCGGGACGGATTCCCATCGGAGTCAGCCTGGCTCCAGGGGGCCACCCTGCCCATTGCAGAAGGGCTCTGCTTCTCTTTGGCTGTTTGATGCTGGCAGGCCATGCCACCTCTCGAGCCCTCAGTTTTTACATGTGTAAATGGGGTCATGGCTAGCTCTGACGTATCTGGGTTGGTACCCCTAAAGCTGGCGCTGTCTAGGGCGGGGTGGGCACCTACCCTGCTGAAGGCCAGCAGGAAGTCCAGCCGGGACGTGTTGGGCACCGAGTGACGCAGCTTCCAGTAGACCAGGTGCTCCCAGGCGAAGACCAGCAGGGCCAGCCCCATGGCCACGAGCAGCATGTAGAACACGCCGGCCATGTTGTCGATGTCCAGCTTGCTGCTCATCACCTCGTTCTTCTCGTTCTGGCAGATCCCGGAGAGCCACACCGTCTCCAGCTTCTGTGTCGCCCCTGGGCAGGGAGCACACCTGTCTCAGGAGGGGCCCTCCCAATGCTCACCCACGTCTTGAGCAGGGAAGGGTCTAGAGACAGGATGCCACCCTTCGTAGGACCCCACAGGGCGTGATGGGGGTGGAGGGTGTCAATGAGCAGGAAGAAAGGAAAGCAGAGTGGGGGCTGGGGTGGGCAATGCCAGCCTTCGACATACCCACCTTGCACATGCCCCTTAAAAGCTTGCCGACTGGGTCAATGTTATCATTCATTTATTTGTCAAACGTGTATCGATCCCCTACGTGCCAGGCATGGAGCTGGCTGGGCACACAGAAAAAAGGCCTGGGCCCCGAGGAGACCCCAAGCCCCTTCATTGTCATCACTCTCATTACTCTATGGTACTGATGGAAAATCGGACCGTTGCTTCTCTGATAGGGTTGGAACTCTAAACTCAAAGCTCCTCTGGGTTTGGGAGGCAGGCTCAGCTGGACCCCTCACACATGCGAGCCGCTGGTGCCAATGCAAGCCTGAGCCCAGGCTCTGACTAGGCAGGCCCTTGGCACTACCCCAGGTAATATCAAGGTGAAAAAATAAAAAATAAAAGAGTTCAACCACCCTCACGCCCCACTGTGTGGCCTGCGCTCCTCCCTGTCTCCCTGCCCTTCAGGACATCCCCAGTCCTATTTCCACTCCCTCCTGGCAAACCCATCTCTTCCCTAGGTCTCCATCCAGTCCCTCCAAACACCCCCACTCACACTGCCAACCTCACCCCCACAGACCTCTCCCTGCCCACGGGCCCGTACTCAGAATGGTGGTGATGCTGACCAGCCACTGGGCAGCCATCCGACCACAGGCTCCGTGGCCCCCTGAACCCACCCCAGCCCCAGCAGCAGCAGCACCCACCGTCCCCCAGGAACTGCAGGAGCGCCAGGTCTATGGCCCGCTTCCAGTGGGAGTCCTTCTGCATGGCGATGCCGTAGCCGGTAGTGGCAAAGACCTTGCCAGAGCCAATGGTGACCAGCTTGCAGCCTTCGTCTTTGCCCGCCATGTAGTTGAGAACAGCGGCATCATAGATGAAGGCGTCCAGCTTCCTAGGGACAGGTGGAGCCCTCAGGCCAGGGATCATGTGGGGTGGGGACACCAAACCTGGGGCCTGACAGGGGTGTGGGCCACAGGAGCCCGCTGGCACCGCCCAGGAGGGGTAGATGGTCAGAGCCTTCTCTGGTTCTCTCGGGTCCTGGATGCAGAGAAGAGCCCCTCTCAGAGCTCGGGGACTCCCCCCACCCTCCTCCTCAGAAAGACCAGGACACTCTGCCTCCAGAGGACACACCCTCTCTGCCCAGCCCTCCTTGCCCCTAAGACCCTAAAAAAGTCACAGCTACCACCTCAGGGCAAGGCTGAACCCTGGTCAGCACCACAGCTGCACCCTTGGATCACATGGTGGGTGTCCATTTTTGCTTCAAGCTTCACTCCACCCTAAGACCTCCTCACCTCCCTGCCCCCAGGAGTCCCACAGGACAGCCCAGCCTCTCTGTCCCCACCTTGGGCCTCTCAGGAAGGGACAGAGCTGAGGCTGGTCACTGAGGAGACACGTGGATAGGGACAGGGGGTATGTGCAGGGCTGACCCACCCCATCTTGAGGCTGGTGAGTGCGTCCTCCACCGAGCGCTGGTTGAACTTGACCATGTGGCTGTGCATGTCACGGTAGTTGCTGCGGATGTTCCGCTCTGTGCTGCCATTGGGCACTGTGCCGAAGCGGAAGGGTGGGTATTGATCTTGAGGCCGCTGAAACTGCGGGCAGAGGGCAGCCGCCATTTGTGACCCTTCGCCCAACCTTCCAGGCATCATCTCACCCCCTGACCTCATTCCCATAGTCTGCACTTGCAGAGTGACAGCAGAATGGTCTTAGATTCTGTCCGGGCCACTCCTGTACTACAAATGGGGAAACTGAGGCCAGGGTAAAGAGAGACTTCCCCAAGGCCACTCATTCAGTGGACCTGGGCCATCTCTCCCCACTCCCAGCCCTCACCTCACCAGGCTCCGCAGCGCCTTCCTGCCCCGGCCTCCAATTCAAATTCCACTGACTCCGATCGCCCTGTGTCCCGCCCAAGGCCTGCGCCTGCCCTCGGCGTCCCGCCACCCTCCCCTAGCTGTGGCGCTAGAACCTTTCTGTCACTGAGGCCAGACACAGTGTCGATGTACTGCTCTTGGATCATGAAGGCAGCCAGATTGGCAGTGTAGCTGGCAAGGAAGATGACGGCGAAAAAGGCCCAGACCAGGACCATGATCTTGCTGGTGGTGCCCCGGGGGTTCTCGATGGGCACCGAGTTGTTGAAGACCAGTGCCCACAGCAGCCACACAGACTTGCCGATGGTGAAGGACGGGCCCCCAGACTCTGAGGGCGAGAGAGTAGACACTGGGGCTCCCCTTGCCCAGAATCGAGGGGCTCCGATCTCAGCCCACCCAACTCCACAGCTCCTGTCCCCACTCTATCCTGTGTGGGGGCCCCATCCCAGGCCATCCCCACCCCAGGACAATTCAACTCACCTTGTTTCTCTCTCATGTATCTGCTTGCCGCCGCCCCTGCCCCCACCCACACCCACACCCACAC